CTTGTATGTTTTACACTTATGTGTTCATGTGTGCGCAAGCCTGAGTGAGCTGCTCTTGAGAGGGCTCTAGGGCAGGAATGAAGACTTTTTTCTCTTATTTTGTTTCAATATATCCCAAGCGCAGTTTCCTCTCCCTCCCCTCCTCTCAGCCTCCCCAGCCCCCAGGTCCACTGCTCCTCCATTTCCCTTCAGAGAGGAGCAGGCCTCTTGGGGATATCTGAGGGACACTGCATAACAGGATACAGTAAGACTAGTCACAAACCTTCATATCAGGGCTAGGGGGGGCAACCCAGTAAGAGGAAAAAAGGTCCCAAGAGCAGGCAAAAGAGTCAGAGTCATCCCCATTCCCACTGTTTTAGGAGTCCGATAAAAACATCAAGCTAATGACCATAACATATATGCAAATGACCTAGCGCAGACCCATGCAGGTTCTGTGATGGCTTCTTCAGTCTCTGTGAACCCCTAGAAGCCCTGCTTACTTGAGTGTATGGACTGTGTTCTCCACCTCCTCTGGCTCCTACAATTCTTTTTTTTTTTTTTTTTTTTTTTTTTTTTTTTTGGTTTTTCGAGACAGGGTTTCTCTGTGGCTTTGGAAGCTGTCCTGGAACTCACTTTGTAGACCAGGCTGGCCTGGAACTCACAGAGATCCGCCTGCCTCTGCCTCCCGAGTGCTGGGATTAAAGGCGTGCGCCACCACCGCTCGGCTGCTCCTACAATTCTTCTTCCCCTTTTCCTTGGAGGTTTCCCAAGTTCCAAGGGGAGAGACTGGATGGAAATCTCCAATTTGGGCTCTCTGCCTAATGTTTGTGTTTGCATCTGCTCCCATCATCTGCTTAGAGAGGCCTCTCTGATGACAATTGGAATAGGTGCTAATTTGGACTTCTGGCTGCTAGGGTGATCTCTGGTAGAGCAGGGAGACTTATTTTCAAAAGCAACTCCGTGAAATCCTGGGGTTCAGTGTTTTACATGAGCAGGACTCAGGAGAGGGACATTGCCTATGGGTAACTCTAAGAACCTGGTCCAAGCTGGGTGGTGGTTACACACCTTTAATTCCAGCACTTGGAATGTAGAGGCAGGAGTATCTCTGAGTAGGAGGCAAGCCTGGTCTACACATCAAGTTGCAGGACATCTAGGGACACCCAGAGAAACACTGTCTGGGAAAAACAGACAAAAACCCCGGTCCAGTTATCACTGAGACAATGGTGTTTACAGACTGGACCACTCCATCAGGAGTGGGTACAGGTTCTTGGGAGTGACAATAAAACAAGGACAGGAAAATCAGGATAGGGGCAACCATGTTCTGGGCCGTGCTTGTAACAGGCACTCAGAAGCTGTTTTTGCTAAAAGTCATTGACTCTCCATTGATTCACAAGATATAATGCTGTCTCCATGCAGGCTAGCCTCTGGTTGATTCTAAAGAAGACAGATTCAACATCTCACTAAGTTTTAAGTTTTTAGCAGTTTGCCAAAGATCTCTCTAAATGGAAAGCTACCACCAGAGCGTGGTGCCCGGGGTTCCCCCCTGGTGGTGGTTGGTAAGACCCAGGCCACTTAATACCCTGGGGGATGCAGGCGTGGGGGTGGGCTCCATTTTCAGAGGCTCTGGTAGGCCCATCTTGGAGACTATTGAAGGCTTCTGTTTTCTGGAACCTTTCAACTTTTTTTTTTTGAGACAAGTTTTCTCTGGCTGTTCTGGAACTCGCTCTATTGACTAGGATGGCCTTGAACTCATAGATATCCTCTTGCCTCTGCCTCCTGAATGCTGGCACTAAAGGCATGTGCCCCCACTACCTGACCTGGTTTTTTTTTTTCCCCCGAGACAGGGTTTCTCTGTATTGCTTTGGAGGCTGTCCTGGAACTCTCTCTCTGTAGACCAGGCTGGACTCGAACTCACAGAGATTCGCCTGTCTCTGCCTCCCAAATGCTGGGATTAAAGGTGTGCACCATCACCGCCCGGCTAAGATATGATTTCTTTATACCTAGCTGTCTTGGAACTTGCTTGGAACTCAACTACTTGGAAAGGTAGATCAGGATAGCTTTCAACTCATAAAAATCCCTCCGTCTTGCTCCTGCCTTGAATGCTGGGATCAAAGGTATGTGCCCTCACATACAACTCAACTTTATTTTTCAATCTGTGTAGTCCTGGCTGTCCTGGAACTCTCTGTAGACCAGGTTGGCCTCAAACTCAGAGATGCAGCTATCTCTGCCTCCTGAACACTGGGATTAAAGTGTGTAGCATCACCGACATTGGAAGAAATCTCATTTGGTAGCCTTTATGGTGTTTTTGGGATGAAACAACTTTTGGGTATCTTTGATGTTATTGCTTTCTCCATTTCTGTTCTTATTCTTCTGTGTCTTATTTCCTTATCCTCTTGTGCTTGGTGATTACAGCTGGCTGATTGTGCTTAAGAATGAGATGCTAGCCGGGCGGTGGTGGCGCACACCTTTAATCCCAGTACTCGGGAGGCAGAGGCAGGCGGATCTCTGTGAGTTCGAGGCCGGGCTGGACCGACAGCCTCCGAAACAATACAGAGAAACCCTGTCTCGTAAAACCAAAAAAAAAAAAAAAAAAAAAAAAAAAAAAGAGATGCTAGAGCCGGGCGTTGGTGGTGCACGCCTTTAATCCCAGCACTCGGGAGGCAGAGATGGATCTCTGTGAGTTCTGACCAGCCTGGTCTACAGCTTCCAAAACAATACAGAGAAACCCTGTCTCGAAAAACCAAAAAGAGAGAGAGAGAGAGAGAGAGAGAGAGAGAGAGAGAGAGAGAGAGAGAGAGAGAGAGAGAGAGAGAGAGAATGAGATGCTAAACCGGGCAGTGGTGGCCCACACCTTTAATCCCAGTAGTCAGGAGGATCTCTGTGAGTCTGAGGTCTGAGTTCCAAGACAGACTTCAAAGCTACAGAGAAACCCTGTCTTCAGAATGAGATGCTAAACTGGGTCTCTGCTCCTTTTCCAGAGTAGAGATAATCTGCAATCAATGTTGGCAGAGCCAGACCTTCTAACACCTTGTAGTAGGGACACGAGAAGTTTTGAGGCAACTATGTTTTTGTTTTTGTTTTTTTCCTTATCTGCGCCTTTTCAGAAAATTCCAGACACAGCCATCACAAACCAGTCTACTAAGGCAGCGCCCACTTTCCCCTAACTCCCCAGCATTTCACTTCTCTGCCCCTTAGGCTTTGTTTTCAATATAGCTCCTGTGGTATTAAAGGGGCTTCAGAAAGGGGGGAGGATATTCTGCCTTATTTTGCTAGAGATCTCTGTATTAGATTCTAAAATTTTCAGGGGTGGAAAACAGAATGGCTATCAGGGGCAGTAGAAGATGCCTGAGCTTACAGATGTGGTATCTTGCAGGCAGCCTTAGGGTCTCAAACTGCGTGTAGCTGGAGACAAATGTCAGGGCAGCTCCTCACACAGCACAGATGAGCATACAGATTTAAACATAGCTCAGAACTTGGGGTCCAGAATGCACGTTGTGTCCACAGTACTATAACCACAGGGCCAGCTGGGGAGCCATCTCTGTCCACCGTTTTAAGAGGCTACTCTCTCACTAGGGAAGAGATGGACTGTGTTTCCAAATAAATGCGGACTCCTGACTTTAGAGATGGACAATGCAGAGACGATGCATCATCCTTTTGTCTCTTGTCTCAGGGGTCAACGCACGGAGTCGAGAAGGGATCAACCGCTCTTTTCCGCTGCTTTCCGCAAGTGAGCTCAACTGAAAAAAGGGTGCTGGGAAAGTAGGCTGACGGAACCGATTCCAGCCCGCTACCGGGCGAGCGCCGCAGGCCTCACCTGGCCTCCACGCCCACCCGTCGGGCCACGCCCCACTCCGCCCCGCTCCTCTCAGCCCTTGTCGGGTGCATTAACTGCCTGCTCCGCCCCGGAAATGCGTCCCGGTCTCCGTCCACGTAGCTAGGGAAAAGTCTATCGCGAGAGTTCCGCGTCCGGCGCCCAGATCGCGCGAGACTGCGGAAGGAGCTGGGGCTTGTGGCGCGCGCGGCGGCCGCGACGGACGCAAGATGGCGACGGCTACTATAGCTCTCGTAAGTGAGTCCCTCGCGGCCGGGAGCGGCCGTCAGCTGGTGGGAGTGAGTCAGGGGCCGGCCCAGGGCGCGGAGGGCCCCTGGGTGCGCAGCGGCGCGACCGGGCCTCACACGGACCCTCTTGTGGCCCCCGGCACGCGGGGCGGGGGCGGGACGGGCGCGCGCGGCTACTGCCGCGTCTGTGGCTGTAGCTTCCGGCTCAAGGACTCCAGTTTCCGGCGGCTGAGCGGGGTGGGCCGGCCGCAGGCGGCCCCGCTGCATCTCCGCGGGGCGGTCCTCGCCCTGCTGAGGCTGGGCGATCGCCGTCTAGGTGGCCGGCGGCCTCGGGGAGCCGTGACGCCTGCTCCGGGTTTCCGCGACTGCGCCCGTGTTGGGGACGCGGAAGGGGCGGACCCCATGGCATTTGCTCTGCGCGGTGGTGCAGGGAGAAAAGGGTTTCCCATTCTGTTACCCCACGCAGGAGGGGAAGGGCAGCCTCCTCCATCTTCCGAGCACTCATTCTTGCCCTCGCTCTGTTGGAGAAGCCGACAGTTAGTGCCTCCTGCGTTGGCCGCAGATCTTGTGGGCATCGTCAGACTTTGCTAACCCTTGTGCGGGCGAGCCTCGGCCTGCTCTGCTCAGCGTTTTCCCTCTTCAGTCAGGAATGTTCCTAGAGTGTCTGCCCCACGTCTTACTCCGCACTTACCTTAGGAGCCACTTAATCTCTTGTACCTAACCCCACTGCAGCCCAGCCTTTCTTATTAACTGCCACCCTCCCCCAGAGGGATGGAGCGAGGTCTGAGAAGGCTTACACGCAGGTTGCTGGAGGCGGGACTGGTGGAACCAAGTAGTATACACGGCCCTAGCTGGGAGCTGCACCCTCATACTTGGAAAGGGGCCCTTGCCCCAGCTTGTGAGGGATAGATCACAAGCTAGGATGTGCCAGTCACATCAGGGTTAAATTTTTTTTTATCGTGCTTTGCTGCTTGAAGGTCCAGGAGCAAATGGTCTTGGTGCAGAGACAGGTTGTTGAGTCCTTGGTGACTACCCTTAGGTGGCTGTGCGATGATAGAAGATAGAGGGACAAGAATGAGGTACTTTGACCAGCACTGAGCAGAGTGGATGCCTCGTTTTCTGAGTAACCCCCGGTGTTCGAGCAGACTGAAAGATTACCTGGGGGTCAGCTTGGTGCCAGACAGGTATTGCCATTGTTGAGATGGGTTCAAGATGGGCGTGGGCAGTGAGTCTCACCATCGAAGCAGCTGGAATAGTCTTTGCTGTCCGTTGACCGTGAGGACCCTAGAGTTGTCTTTCTCTTTCTTGTTTTGCTGCATCCACAGTGCTCAATACAAGCCTGGCTACCCAGGGAACAGCACTGCACCCTGTGAAGGGACCTGAACAGATGGAAGACAGCGTTCTGCAGCCAGTCCTATTCTAGGGACCTGTCACTCCTGTCGATGGTACTAATAACTGCTAGAACCTGTGGCTTACTTCCCAGAGACTAAGGGACTTCATGGAAGATACAATCTTCGATGCTGCCTGAGAGATAGGCCATGCCCCTCCCTGCACAAGAGGAGCTTAAGGCCTAGACTTTAGGTGATTTGCCTCAGGTTATTTAAAATGTCTTGTAATGAAAGCAACTGTTTGTTCTGAGATGGTGAAGGGTAGAGCTTGGCTTGTGCACCAGAGATGCTCAGCAACACTGTCCCTCAAGGGGGCTTCCCTTCTCTTAACTCACTACTGCCTGGTGTTGGGGAGCACTGTGACTGCAAGACTTGCCGTTCCCATTGCCCAAAGTGACAGCATGTGACTGTTAGGTCTTAAAACAGGGACAGCTGGCTGAGATCCGTCTTAGTGACTAGCTGTGATAACAGATGATAGTTTTCTGTAGGCTCTCCCAGAGATGATGAGAACAGAATTCTGGACTCTGTTGGGGGAACTCTCTCCTGTGGTGAATGGGCTAAGTTGGGTGGTTTGTTTTCCTTTGTAGCATCTGTAGGTGAGCTTTCCCTGGAATGCTGCTTTCAGCACTAACCCTGTCCCTGCATGACTAATAAGTTGGAGAGACAGGAAGTTGTACTCGTGCCCCAGGTTCAGCCTCTCACTGCTGTGTGACTAGGGCCTGAAGCATGCTTTCACTGCGTGTTGAGAAGCAGCCTCTGTTCTGTAGATGCCTATGCACAGCAGTCAGCCATTCCTTTAGTTTTCTCTGGATATCATTTCTACATCACAGTGGAGCTGAACTAGGCAGGAGTGTGCACGTATGTTGGTAGCATAGGGACAGCTCCAGGTTAGGCTGGGCTGGCCATAGTCTACATTATATTGGGCTGTGCTGCTGTCCCTCCTTCTGTAGTCTGATGACCTGAGAGACCCACTTTGTCTAAGTTGGCCAGCCTCTGGCTTTGTCTCTGACAATGGGCACAACCATCTCACTGTCTTTTGATATTTGTGGAGCATGTTCTTGAGCTGATGGTAGTGTAAGCGCATTCTAACTTCTGTTCACACTGCAGTCTCAGAGAAGCCCGGGTAGGTTTTAGGGCCTTTCCATGACATTCCATCTTCCTACTCTTACCACATTGCCCACCTCTTCCAAGATCTGTTGGGTGGCAGAGGCCACTCCACTAGGCCATGTTAAGAGCTCTATCTCCTGAGGACAAAAGGTTGAGCTTAGAGGCCTGGCCCAAGTGTGTATAGAGTTTGATGGAAAGAGTACTCCTGCTGCCATGGGAAGAAGGGGAGAATACAGCCAGCTGCTCACCCCGTCTAATGTGGCTCAGTCTGTCAGCACGAAAGGGTGGCTTTCCTTGGCCTTGGGCTGGAACACTGCTTCCTCTCTTTTTGTCCCTTTCTGGGGGACTGTCAACTTGGCCTGTCGCAGCTGCTGCTCTGCTTTCTGTCTGTGCCCTGGGCGGCTGCATATGTGCTGGCAGGGCAGAGGGTGTACAGGCAGCACAGGCGCTGGCAGGGCAGAGGGTGTACGGGCAGCACAGGGGGATTGACGCTGGGAATGAGAACTCGGCTGACCACCTTTAGCCCTTGCCCAGCCTCCCTTGTTCTGGATGGGGAAGGCAGCCTTCAGCTTTGTAACAGTGATGGGTTTGTATGACTATTGGTTATGTTTCCTTCCTGCCTGCAGCAGGTCAATGGCCAACAAGGAGGGGGGTCCGAGCCAGCGGCAGCAGCCGCAGCGGCGGCAGCGGCAGTGGTGGCAGCAGGAGACAAATGGAAACCTCCACAGGTATTAACCTTAAACATCTTTTCCCTCAGGCCTGCCTGCCTGCCTGCCTGCCCATGCGTCTTTGGGCCTAGAGAGACCTGACTGGGCAACTTGGACATGTGGTTGGGGGAATCCAGTGACCAGCCTCTGCTTTCTGGGCCTAGCCCTGCCCCCTCCTCAGCCAGCTTCTGATTTGCATCTTGTCTGTGGGAGTCCATCTAGCCTAAGCCTGGCAGCGCCTGGCAGTTGGCTAGCCAAGCAGCAGGGGGAGGGTGTAGATGATGGGAATAACTACAGCCTAGCCCTCAGTGGTGCTGGCTTGGAGCCATTGGCATTGTGCAGAGGGATAGGCCCTCTGTTTCAGAACGGCAGTGTTGTTTCCAGACCAGAAGTAGGGATTTCCATTTTAGCTCTTTGTTTTCATGCAAGTAAAACAACAAAACAACATGTAAGTCAAAGCACACTTCTCTTGGGGGACACCCCCCAATTGCTTCTCTCGGCTTATGGGTAGTTGTGGGTGGATTTTGTTCTCTAGTCACTGGCCCATGGGAGTAAGTCTTCTGGGACGTGAAGCTGGATCTGTTGTTGCTAAGTTCTTTATTCCCGCCTCCAGAGTCCCACAAGGTTTCAACAAGATAGTGTGGTGGCCTCTGATGTGTGTATGTGGGAGGGTGCAGACAGAGATGTTGGTATGCAGCCTGAATCTTGGGAAGTTGTGGGGGCTGAAGCTCTCTGTCCTGACTGACTGGCCAGTATGCCATTGGTTGGTGGGAGAAGGGCCTTTTGTTCACCAAGACAAAGAAGAGATTGAAAAGTTTCTAGGGGCTGAGAAGAGCTGGCATTGATTTCCATGGTGACAACCTACTCTAGTGCCACAGCCTCATAGGCCTGGGGCCAGCTGAGAGGGCAGAAGGCAGATCTAGTGTGAGCCAGACTGCAGCCCTTGGTTCCATCCATTGCCAGCTCTTGGGAGACTTTGGGGTCTTCTTGGGACTGCCCCAGGGTGGCCTTATAAGCCTCCTGCCTTTTGACCTTTGACCAGAAACTCAGCACTTTGGCATCCATGGTGGGGTTCATGGGGTTTGAGTCCAGCCAAACCCTGCCTGCCTTCTTTGTACTTCAGGCTTGCCTATTACTCCTGTGCTGAGGGCCTTCCTCTCTGCTGCTGCTCTCAAAGCCTAGAAAGTCACAGAGGGATTTTGAACTGGTTAGATCCATAGACTGGCTCTGTCCATTACTCCCAGGGTCTGCTGGCTCTGACATTGGGCTTTCCCTGTTTACATGGCTGTTTCTCTCCTGCAAACAACTTGGAAATGCTTTGATGGAGTAATGTGAACACAATTCTGGTACCATTCGATTATGTCTGCGGCAAGTGTCCAGCCTCCCCTGGCCAGTACCATGTGCTCTACACTCATTTGTCAGGATGCTGCTCTGCACCTGGCTTCTTGGTGCTGGACACATGCCATACAGGAGTGTTGATGGAAGTGAGCTCATGAACTGAGGAGGAACACTCACCCTCTTTGGGAGGCGTATAGAAAGAATGTCTTCAGGGCCCAAAATGAGCATTATTGGAAGGAGGCCCCTTGCCTTGTTCCAGGGTGGCCTGAGGCCCTGGCAAGGGCTATTGAAGAAACCAAGAGGCTAGAGTGCAAAGTAGCCTCTAAGTAATGAGTCTTTGATCCTGGTTCTGCTGCCTGGGCTCTGGAGCACGACAGAGGTTGGCTGTTCTACAGGACTTGGGACAGAGACTGGGGTCAAATTGTCAACAAGGGGTAGGCACACTGCTCTCCTATATTAGTTGCATGAGGAGGCCATTGTGCTGCTGGCCCTACAGGATACCTGCCTGGTTTTAATATGTCCCACCCATGAGTCATGCCTGACAGAAGCCTAGGTAGGGATAGCAATGTCTGAAGGGAAGACCTGTATCCTAACCAAGCAAGAAGTAGCTTATACTGGGGCTTGTATTTTACTTTGGTTTAAGAGTCTAGGGATAGAGGGCCTGTGGGGTTTCTGGGACATAAGAAATTTTGGGTTTGCTGCTGAATAACTCCCCTGTTTCCTGCTCCAGGGTGCAGATTCTATCAAGATGGAAAATGGGCAAAGCACAGGCACCAAGCTGGGGCTGCCTCCCCTGACGCCCGAGCAGCAGGAGGCCCTCCAGAAGGTGAGAGTGCACCTCCTGGGCACAAGTGCTCAGCCAAGATTGGTGAGGCAGGCCATCCCCCTGTAGGCTGGGCTCCCCAGTGCACCTCACTGCCATCTCTTGCAGGCCAAGAAATATGCAATGGAGCAGAGCATCAAGAGTGTGCTGGTGAAACAGACCATCGCGCACCAGCAGCAGCAGCTCACCAACCTGCAGGTGAGCCCCGCCACCCTCCTGCACACCACTGCCACTATCTTGGGGCTGGCTCTGCTGGAGGCCCTCCTGCCCAGCCTGGGCCAGGAAGCCTTCACTGCCCCTCCCCACTACCTCCACCATTTCCTCCTCTTCTCTGCCTCCTCCTGTGCCTGTGGCCGACTGCCCCGAGAAGGTGTTATCACTCTCAGACTCTCAGGATTCATTCTCTGGACCACCAGGGTCCTCTCTGAGGCATGAGTGGCCTGGCCTTTCCTCCTGTTGCTTGATAAGGCCCCTTCTCCATCCCCTCCCCACTCCTTCTCTGTAGCTCTGCCCAGTTCTCCTTCTTGGTCTTCCCACTGGTGCCTCTGGGTCTCTGCCACACCCTTGTCACCCAGGCTGTGCACAGCCATGGTGGCAGCATGTATGTAGGTTGTGATCCTCCCTACCCCTATGGTCAGGCCTTTATCCCTGGGCCTTCGACTAAAGGGGCAGTCTAGGGGTATGCTCCCCTGGACCCTACTCTAGGCTGGAGGCTGTGATATCTGTGGGAAGAAGCCTATGTGAAGCTGACAGGTTCCTGGGCCTTGAGCCTTCCCCACCCCCAGGTCCGGCCCTCAGACATCCATACTGGCTGTTCACTGTGCTGTCCATCCCTCTCCTCCCTTCCTTCTGCCCTCGCCGGTCTTGCTGCAAAGGCTGTGGGGCGGGGCCCCTGGGGCTCTGAAGCCCCCCTGGGCAGGTGCCAGTGACCAGCCAGAGTGGCCAGCAGTGTGGGAAGGCAGGCGGGCCTCCCTGGCAGGGCGGGGACTCCGCGCCTTGCTGCTGTCTGCGTGAGGTGTTGACGAGAGCGGGAGACTGCTCGGCTCCAACAGACTGAACTCTGTCTTTACTGTCTTTCAGATGGCAGCAGTGACAATGGGCTTTGGAGATCCTCTCTCACCTTTGCAATCGGTCAATAGAAATGCTCACTTCTTCTGGGGCTCATGTCCTTAGTCAGGGCTAGAGGGGGGCAGTGCAGCCCACTGCTGGGGACCTTGCTCCCCTGGCCGGCCCTGCCCGCCAGCTCTGGACGAGCACAGCAGAGCGCCAGGCATGGTGGGGCCAGTGGTGTGGGCACTCACCCCGGGACCGCCCCTGGGGAGGCCTCCATCTGCTCTGAGGGCCCACCTTAAAACTAACCGGCCAGGTAACTGCGGAGGGCAGCCGCGGCAGCCAGCCAGGGAGGGTAGCTGCCAATGCAGGCTCATCTGTGCCTTGCCACCCCATGTGGGGGATGTACCTGTGGGCCTCCAGCTCTGACAGTCTCCAGGCTGCCCGGGCTCTTGGGTTGGGGTCAGGCCCCTGATAAGAGAGGGGTCCTAACTGTGGCCCCATCACACTCTGGAGGGAGGGTGGATGGATGGGGTGGGGGCTGGGGGCCTGAGTGAGCAAGAGAGGGAAGGGCACATACCAACTTGGTCACAGACCTAGCTCTCAGCAAGGGGTAGAGGTCATGTGGCCATGGCTGCAGTAAGCAGAGAGTTTGGGAAGGAGATGGCTCTTCCTTGCCCAGAGGCAAGTTGAAGTGGTCAGGCCCTATCCTGGGGAGATCCTGTGGGAAGACATGGCCCTTTCTCTGGGGTATCCACTTGGAGGGTCATCCCTGGATGAGTTGCCCTCACATTTGAGACATACTCTATCTACTCTGGGAACATGTGTCTGAAAGGGAGCTGTTGACCCTCTGAGGAGCCCTGGGAGATGCCAGAGACCTGTAGTTGTGCAGTTTCACCTTGAAGGGGAGACTTAGTAATCTCTTGTCAAGTGTGACCTGAAAGACAGACGTAACTTCATATCTGTGGAGCTTAGAGAATGGGTGGCTCTATCCTTGGGGCCCTTCATCTGGGCAAGAGCCTGAGGCTTGTCAGGAGCCAATCTGAGGGAATGGCCCCAAGTTTAGGGTACCCCTTATGTGAGGAAAGATAGGCCCTACCTGGGTGAGTCCTGTGTTGGTGGGCCTTTTAGTTCTCTCTTAGGGAGACTGGGCAATCCTTGGCCTGCTAATGTCTCAAGAAGTAAACTGGTCTCCTGCCCCTGGGACCTTTGTTAGGGTGAGAGAAGTCCTTGTGTGTGTTAAGGAGTAAGGCTTTGCCTGGCCCATGGGGCCCCACCTGTGACTCTAGAACCCCTGCCTGGTACATCTATGAAGTGTTGCAAGGAGCCTTTCCCAGGGCATGGGGCGGTCCCTCATTACAGTGGCCCAGCTCACTGCTAGTCCTGCCAGCTTCCCAGCCCCCAGGATCCCTGAGGCTTCTTCATTGGGTTCTCTGCTGCCTTGTGACGCTCTTACCTGGGCCATCTCTTATGGCTACCGTCATGTGCTCCAAGCAGCTCTTTTTTGTGGGAGGTGTTGGTGTGGGAGTGTAGAACACACTGAGTCCTCACCTATGTCTCCCTGCATGAGCAGTTTGCTCCTTGTTCTATCCAGAGAGCCCCTGTCTGGGCTCCCACATTCCTTCCCTGGGATCTCTTCTGGGCAATGGCTGCCCTGTCTTCTGCCACCCTCTCTTCTGGCCTCCATGCCAGTAGGTGTCTCTGGCTTGGACAGCTCCTCCTTCCCTCTTCTGTCCCAATACTTGGTTGGACTGGTGGGAGGCTCTCCCAACCTAGCCCAGGTACCTGGCCCCCAGACTGGAGAAGAGGGCTGAATTACAGGGCATTCAGCCTTGGCTTCTGGCCACCTGTCAGCTCTGCTGGCACAGTCTGTCTGGGACCTGGGTGGGCTGGGTCCTTCCACGTCCTGCTGTTGGGCCTGGCCTTCCTTGGGGTGGGGTCCTGCCGACCCCTAAGCCCTGACCGTAAGAGCCCAGCCTGCACTTCACTGCTGTGTGGGAGCCCTTCCCACAGCAGAGCTGGGCGGGTGGGCTAGGAAGGGAGAGGGTTGCTTAATTTCTGCCTTCCTGACAAGCCAGTGGCTCTCTCCTTCTGTCCTGCTGCAGATGGCAGCTCAGCGGCAGCGGGCACTGGCTATCATGTGCCGGGTCTATGTGGGTTCCATCTACTACGAGCTGGGGGAAGACACCATTCGCCAGGCCTTTGCTCCCTTTGGCCCCATCAAGAGCATTGATATGTCCTGGGACTCTGTCACCATGAAGCACAAGGTACGCAGGTTGGAGCTGTCCCTCGTGTCCTAGCTTGCCCTCCTGTCTGCTTTCCTGACCTGATGGCAACTCCCTGTGTTTAGGGCTTTGCCTTCGTGGAGTATGAGGTTCCAGAAGCTGCACAGCTGGCTTTGGAGCAGATGAACTCGGTGATGCTTGGGGGCAGGAACATCAAGGTAAGGACCAGAGAGTCTTGGTCTTAGGCCCAGAGCTGAGAATGCAGGAGAACTTCGTGTGCTCACATACAAGCAGGCACCATAGGCCTAGGCTGATGGGAGACTTTGTTCTTGACCTCTTTTTTCAGGTGGGCAGACCCAGCAACATAGGACAGGCCCAACCCATTATAGACCAGCTGGCTGAGGAGGCTAGGGCTTTCAACCGCATCTACGTGGCCTCTGTACATCAGGACCTGTCTGATGATGACATCAAGAGTGTGTTTGAAGCCTTTGGCAAGATAAAGTCTTGCACACTGGCCCGGGACCCCACGACTGGGAAGCACAAGGGCTATGGTTTTATTGGTGAGTTTGGGGAGGGCCAAGGAGAAGGGGACCACCTGGTATTGGGGCTGGCCTTCCTCACTGCTCATCCTGCCCTGCAGAATATGAAAAGGCCCAATCGTCCCAGGATGCTGTGTCTTCCATGAACCTCTTTGATCTGGGTGGCCAGTACTTGAGGGTGGGCAAGGCCGTCACACCCCCCATGCCCCTGCTAACACCTGCCACGCCTGGAGGTCTCCCGCCTGCTGCTGCTGTAGCCGCAGCTGCAGCCACAGCCAAGATTACAGCTCAGGTGAGAGCTGGTACAGTGGTTGGGTTTGACCGTGGGTGGCAGGCCCACTGACCCTTTGGGAACTGACTCTAGGTGGCTTTGGGTGGAGGTAGCCAGACTAGAAACTGACTGTGGTTGCCTTTTGGTTGCAGGAAGCAGTGGCTGGAGCAGCCGTGCTGGGTACTTTAGCTACACCAGGACTAGTGTCGCCAGCTCTGACACTGGCCCAGCCCTTAGGGGCTCTACCCCAGGCTGTCATGGCTGCCCAGGCCCCTGGAGTCATCACAGGTGTGACCCCAGCCCGCCCTCCCATCCCAGTCACCATCCCCTCTGTGGGAGTGGTGAACCCCATCCTAGCCAGTCCCCCAACACTGGGTCTGTTGGAGCCCAAGAAGGAGAAGGAAGAGGAGGAGCTGTTTACTGAGTCAGAGCGGCCAGAGATGCTAAGTGAACAGGAGCACATGAGCATCTCTGGCAGCAGTGCTCGGCACATGGTCATGCAGAAGCTGCTCAGAAAACAGGAGGTAGGTGGGCCGGGGCCGGGGCCTCTCTGGGGTAGAGGGGATAGCGTGGTGGACAGGCCACAGCATTCAGTCTCCTTTCTTCCAGTCCACAGTGATGGTTCTGCGAAACATGGTGGACCCCAAGGACATCGACGATGACTTGGAGGGAGAGGTGACAGAGGAGTGTGGCAAATTTGGTGCTGTGAACCGGGTCATTATCTACCAAGAAAAGCAGGGCGAGGAGGAGGATGCAGAGATCATCGTCAAGATTTTTGTGGAATTTTCCATGGCCTCAGAGACTCACAAGGCCATCCAGGCCCTCAATGGGCGCTGGTTTGCTGGCCGTAAGGTGGTGGCTGAAGTGTATGACCAGGAGCGTTTTGATAACAGCGACCTCTCTGCGTGACTTTGGCCTCATTCCCTGGACTTGCGCTTGCCCCTCCCTCCCTCCGGGTTTCGTAGAGTGTTAACAGTGGTGTCCCTGCGACCCCGCACTCTGCCCAGCCCACGCTGTAGTGTACATAAAGGTGCAGATACTGCTGGCCCTAAAGTTCCTGTCTGGAGTTGGTCCCTTGGCCCAGGACGGCTGTGTGTGGGGTGTTGACAGGGCACCGATGCCCAGGAGGGTGTTGGGCATACCGCGCAAGCGTGAATGGAAAGGCGGGGGGGGGGGGCGTTGCTTTATCTGCCTTTGCGAGCATGGCTCGCAGCACCCGCTCACATGAGCAGTGCTGAGAGAGGTTTGAACCCGAGAGTCGTGGCATCCAGGACCAAGGGGGCATCTGGCACACTGGATCTATGTTATTATTACAGCGGTTGTGTTGGGTCACGCCAGAGCGGGGCGGAACTCCCGACATGCCCTGCGCGAAACCGCTACGGGTCGTCGGAGGCGCCACGCCGCGGGGCCTACTGGGATATGCAGTTTTGAGCAGTGAGGGCGGGCCTAGGCTTCCCGGCGGGCTACGCGGCTGGGCGGTTGTCGCGGGCAGCGGCGGCGGTTCCGGCTGCGGTGCTGCGGGCGGACGAGCTGCTTAGGTGAGCAGGCCGGGCGGGATGCGGAGCCGCCGCCGCGCCCCCAGCGCCTGAGAAAGCGCTGCCGGGTCAGGCCGGGCCGCCAACTGGGTGCCGCCGTCCGAGACTACAGCTCGTATTGAACCTGGGCCGAACCTAGTGCGGACCCCGGCCGCAGTCCGGGTCCCGGCGGCCCGCCCCACCCCCGCGCGGGCCGTGCCGCTCCGCCCGCGCCCGGCGCTCATGCGGGCCGAGCCCCGCCCCCCGGCCGGAGCCCGCGCTCACTGCCCGCCCGCATCATGCTCAAGTGCATCCCGCTCTGGCGTTGCAACCGGCACGTGGAGTCGGTGGATAAGAGGCACTGCTCGCTGCAGGCTGTGCCGGAGGAGATCTACCGCTACAGCCGCAGCCTCGAGGAGCTCTTGCTCGACGCCAACCAGCTGCGCGAGCTACCTAAGGTGAGCGGCCGCTGCAGCACCTGCTGCCCCGTCCGCGGTCCCGCGCTCAGTTTTCTGGACAGTGTGTAACTTCCGTGGCAGCCGGCTAGAGCGAGACCTCAGCAGGCGCTGCCCGGGCTTGGTCGGCACCGCAACCTCCAGCCGGCCCTGCTGGTTCTTACTGGCCAGAGCCCCGCCCCAGCCAGCCCCACCCTCACCCAGTAGCCTGTGTTGGCACCTGGTGGCAGCCTGTCTGGGGACCCGGTGGATAGTGAGCCTAAAAGGGGAGCCTGAAAGGGAAACCTGTGAGAGCACAGAAGGTGGGTGGGAGCAGGGTGCGAGGTCAGCCTAGGCTAGCAACAGCTTACTGGGCTACTTTAGAGGTACGGGCCTGGTTTTCTGGTGCCGTGTTCTGCTCCCCCTACTTTCCCCCTTGGGCTCAGAACTGAGTGGGACCCTCCTAAGACCCTCGCAGCGGCAGATCTATTCTGTCGTCTCTCAGAGGAGCCCCACCTCTCACTGCCCGTGTTTCTTCCTGTCGGTTGTTGGTTTTGTTGTTCTGAGGCCGCTCCAGAAAGAGGACCAGAGGAAACAGGCCATGAAAGCTTTACTTTTCCGAGGTGGAGGGCCGAGTGACCTTACATTCTTGAGGACTGGTGGCATGGGGTGTGGCCTCGGTCTAGGTCTGTTTGCAACAGTTCTGTTCTTCATCGCTCTTTATAGCATCTGTGTGTGAGTCCTGAAATTCGTGTGCCTGTGCTTCTTGATGGCGTTTTTTACTACAGTCTTTGTCGAGCTTTTGCTGTCCATTGCCGGGGTCCTGAAGAGTTTATCTGTGATGGAGGAAGCAGCGTGGGTAGTGGGTGGGGAACCCTAGGAGTGACCGGTAGGGTAGAGGGCAGGCACTGTCCAGACAGGAGCCAATGACGCTTCGGCTTGGGCGCATTCTCTGGGAAGCAGGATAGTAGTGGTGAGTGTGACAGATGACACGAGGCAGATCAGGCATCAAGCGGGCACAGGCGTGCTGTGCTTGATTCTCAGCCCGACTTGCCAGCAAGATTGCCAGAACCAAGGTGTGTGTGACGTGGGACACAGAGGTTCGGGGACCCGTGGCCGTGATCCTCCTGGTCTAGAAACTCCTTTCTACCCCTAGAGCTCTGGCTGCAGAGCTTGCTCACCTGATCACGTCTTTTGCTGTCCACAGCCCTTCTTCCGGCTATTGAACTTGAGAAAGCTGGGCCTCAGTGACAACGAGATTCAGCGGCTGCCTCCTGAAGTGGCTAACTTTATGCAGCTGGTGGAGCTGGATGTGTCCCGGAATGGTGGGCAGGCAGGCAGGGTGGAGCAGGGGGACTTCTGGCATCTCCTGAGGCTGTAACCTGACAAATCCCTATCCACACACAGACATCCCTGAGATACCCGAGAGCATAAAGTTCTGTAAGGCTCTGGAGATTGCAGACTTCAGTGGGAACCCCCTGTCCAGGTAAGTGTCACCACATAGTCTGGTTGGCTTTGGGCTGTGGGGGGCTCTGTAACCCTTGTGGGTGTCTGAGGTCTTCTGCTTCCTTTCCCTAGGCTTCCAGAAGGCTTCACACAGCTGCGCAGCCTGGCTCACCTGGCCCTGAATGATGTGTCCCTGCAGGCACTGCCTGGAGATGTGGGCAAGTGAGTGTCTTCTTGGTGAGTGGATCAGAGTGCAACAAGTACTTGTCTTGGCCCTGCCTTCCTCAGCCTTGGCCCTTGGTCTCTTTCAGCCTGGCCAACTTGGTAACCCTGGAACTCCGGGAGAACCTGCTTAAATCTCTCCCTGCGTAAGTGTGGGGCCTCCCCTGGACTGTGGTAGGGCTGTGCTGGGGCTTAGACGTCAATAGTTGTCCTTTCTCAGGTCCCTGTCTTTCCTGGTCAAGCTGGAACAGCTGGATCTGGGAGGCAATGATCTGGAAGTGCTGGTACAGCGGGGGCCGCTGGGGAGGAACAGGTGGGTGTGGGGCAGCTGCTACTGGCGGGTGTCACACTGCTCTGCCCTGTCTTTGTCCCTTCTTGCAGCCTGATACTCTGGGGGCTCTGCCTAACCTGCGGGAGCTGTGGCTGGACCGAAACCAGTTGTCAGCACTGCCCCCGGTAAGTGAGGGTGGGAGTGGCTTCACCCTACCTGCTGCCCTTTGACCTCCCATCTGTCCTCAGGAGCTAGGCAATCTTCGGCGGCTGGTGTGCCTGGATGTGTCAGAGAACCGGCTAGAGGAGCTACCTGTGGAGCTGGGTGGGCTGGCACTGCTCACAGATCTGCTGCTTTCCCAGAACTTGCTTCAGCGGCTGCCAGAGGGCATCGGTCAGTGTGCCCAGAGGGCCCTGGGGACTATACATTCTCATCAGTGGCCTTATGAATTGCCTGACGGGGTCTTGGGTTAGGACCTGACTTTACTCAGGCTAGAGGTGTCTGGAGAGGGAAGGTTAAGATACGGCTGGAGTTATATAAGCTACCGTGCAAGTGACCCAAGTGACAAGTTTCACAAGTGACAAGTGACCCAAGGGTCGGGGTCACTTGTGGTCACAAGAGTTGAGAATATGGGCTTACAAGGGTCAGTGATGGGGAAGAGCTTTGGGGGAAAGCATAGGGAATCTTGGAATTCTCAAAGAAATGAGCTGTCACTGGAACGTGGGACTAGTCTGTGGCCATTCTGAGGGCCCACACACTTGAGTGCCCTTGACCTGACTCAATCTAGTCACATGTCTCCTTGATGCCAGGTCAGCTGAAGCAGCTGTCTATCCTGAAGGTGGATCAGAACCGGCTGTGCGAGGTGACCGAGGCCATTGGGGACTGTGAGAACCTCTCTGAGCTGATCCTCACAGAGAACCTGTTAACGGTAAGGCAGTCCTGAGACACCCAGCCCTCTAAGATGTGCTGAGTGCGGTCAGTGCTAATATGTAGCAGGGACACAAGCGCCTCGTGGCAGTGGCATGTGCTGATGGTGGCTTATCCCAAGGGACCCTTGGGGTCAGGAGAAAGAGCTCACTGGCATACAGATGGCCTAGGGCCCATGGGGTCCTATAGGATTCTGCCAGGTATAGCGTTCAGGCTGTGTTTTTCCAGACATGTGGTGTGGTGCCAGGGAGGATCGGACAGGAAGAAGACAGCCTGTCAGCATGTGTGACCCATTGTAACCAAGGAGAACAGAAACTGTAGAGCCCCAACTAGAGGTGTCTGCATCAATGTTAGACTCAGGCTGAGAGACAGACGAGCGTGTGCGTAGTGTGGAATGTTCCTGTGTGTGGAGTATCCAGAATCACAGTAGTGAGAGAAGAGAGTGTCCTGGAAACAAATGGCAGGTATAAGTAGCAGGCCCGTGGGATGGTGACGGTCACAGACAGATACATGGCCTTGGTATACTGAGCTAGGTGGCTGTAGGAGAGGGCTAGAGAAGACAGTCTGGGGAATTAAGTGGCCTGGCAGGCTGTTTGGTATCCTTGAAGGTAAACAAAACAAAACAAAAATGGGTATGCAAACTGGTTCGGTGTTCAGCCATGGTTCCTGAGGGCTGTGGGAACCCTGGTGAACTAGCCAGTTTATCTCAAGGGAGACCTTTCCTCCTACCCCAGGGGGTTTCTGTCAGCCTCAGATGCTTCCTTTTCCCGGCCAGGCCTTACCCCGCTCTCTGGGCAAACTGACCAAACTGACTAACCTTAATGTGGACCGCAATCATCTTGAGGCGCTGCCACCTGAAATTGGAGGCTGTATAGCCCTCAGTGTCCTCTCTCTGAGAGACAATCGCCTGGCTGTCCTTCCCCCTGAGCTTGCCCACACAGCTGAGCTGCATGTGCTTGACGTAGCTGGGAACCGGTGAGTGTCCGTGTGACCCCTGGGGACCAAGGCTGCACCCCCTGTGTATGCTGACCATGCCTGCCTGGCCTCCAGGCTGCGGAGTCTGCCGTTTGCGCTCACTCACCTCAACCTCAAGGCACTGTGGCTGGCTGAGAACCAGGCACAACCCATGCTCCGCTTCCAGACGGAAGATGATGCCCAGACTGGTGAGAAGGTGCTAACCTGCTACTTGCTGCCCCAGCAGCCCTTGCCAAGCCTCGGTAGGTTGCTGATGGCCGGGTC